CAAAAAAGCTCTCATGAAACAATTTGGCATCACTATGGCTGAGGCTACAGCTATAATCCAACAATGCCCTACCTGTAGCCTACAGTCTAAAGGTATTCCACAGGGTGTTAATCCCCGAGGCACTGAAGCCTGTGATACTTGGCAAATGGATGTGACTCAATATCCTCCATTTGCCCCATGGAAATATCTGCATGTTACGATGGATACTTTCTCCGGTTTTATTTTAGCTACCCCACAAAAAGGGGAGGCTGCGAAACAAGTAATCAACCATTGCATTCGTACTTTTACAGTGTTGGGATGTCCAAAAATATTAAAAACTGATAATGGTCCAGCATATATTAGTTCACAATTTTCACAATTTTGCCACCATTGGTCTATTATTCACAAGTTTGGAATACCTTTCAATAGTCAAGGGCAGGCTATTGTTGAAAGAGCAAATCAAACCTTAAAAAATGCTTTAGATCGATATAGAGGGTCAAAAGGCTCAAGCCCCCCTAACCTCCCAGCACTGCAAAATGTATTAAATGTTTGTCTGTATACTCTCAACTTTCTCAACCTTACTGGTACCCCTCCTTTGTCTGCTGTGTCTCGACATTTTACTAAACCTGTTGTCCCAACTTCAAGACCACTTGTTTACTATAGGCAACTTCCTGATCCTGCCTGGAAAGGACCAGCAGACCTCATCACCTGGGGAAGAGGCTACGCAGCAGTCCAACTACCTGATAAAGTTCTATGGATTCCTGCTCGCTGTGTCCGTCCCTATTTCAGTAACACAACAGATCATAGTTCCTCAATGGATGTGTTGTCATTGCCTTCGTGAGTGTGACTGTGAGTGTTGTCATTAGTGCAGCAAGTGCCTCCTGCGTCATTCCATCCGTCCCAGTGTTCAACATTTTTGCATCAATCATGTGGATCCTGCACTTCATGACACTACTGATGAATCTGTCCCTCATGATGTCTGTTCCACGACGACCCTTGAACCTGAGACGTGTGCCGATGCATCTGAAAACCCCCCTTAATATGAGTAAAGGTTTATATTGTAGTCCCATCTTTTCCTTTCTTCATTTCAATACTACAGGCTTTTTTCATTGTGTTGACCAAGGTCAACCCTTTTGTCCGTTCGCAGTATCTCGCTACCCTAATCACAACATTCCCTTATCTCCCTCTCCCCATGTTTCTATTGCGTATTCTTATTACCCCTGTCGTATAACCTTTTCTATTTTCGTAACCCCTGAAACAACGGGGCAATATTATGTATCTGGTTTTATGTCTTCTGACCGCCTATATTCAACAACTATCTTTGAACTTGCTTCTAAGGCTAGCTATGCAAAACCTCCCCTTTCTAATACCCTGCTTGCTCATGACCCTGTTTCACACCCACGCTCATCTTTGAGCGTGGCCACCCACTCTTTACCTCTTT